AAGTACTGTCCCGAACTTTTGGTGGCGACTGTAATGCCAGGGTGGGAAAGGAAGGTATCTTTAGCAAATTGTCGGAAAATTCAGCGTCCATGAAGCACAAATCATCCCTAAGCGGCATGAGACTGATGCACGTCACCGATACTGAAATATGGTTATCTATGGTACCAGATTTACAAAATAGAAAACTCATAAAACTACATAAAAATCACGCAATCGATGATGTTGTGATAGACTGAAGGCAAGTCTACAGTATTTTAGATGTGCGTACTCTGCGGGGTCTAACACCGACTCGAATCGATATCTTGTCGCAGCGAAGACAAACACTCATCTCTGTCTATCAAAGAACGTCCGTCAACAAGCACAAGGTAGGTTCGTTATCAAAAAGCAACAGACACCGAGAGTTGAAGAGGTCAGTAAGATGCATATGCGTTAATATGAAGAGGGTATTGCACGATATCACGAAGACTTCAATACCGGATCATACTCCTGTTGGAGCCAAAGAGCTGTTCTAGCCACTGATGCCTAGTGCACGTTGTTGTTATGGATGGTATGGAGGGCACATTATTCCAGCCATTCTGAACTGCTCTAAAAGTGAAACAACAAGAGACCACGAACCTAAATTTTCAACCGATGAGAATCGAACTGTAGTTTCATTACCCGACTATGAAGAACGGATGTCGTTGGGCTGTTCAAATGCGTCGTCGAAAGACTGGCAAGATGCAGGCATCATCTTTTACATACTAGGAATATGGTTGGACGTCGAAAGCATCTCCAGCAAATGGAACCTAGAGACTCCAAATTCGGTGACAATTATCGTGGGATGAGCCTACTCCATTTCGCTTATAAGGTTCTCTCGAGTCTATTGTGTGAAAGTCTATAAGTCCACCGCCAACGAACTGAATGGACTTTAGACCTGGTAAATCCACCATCGATCAGATATTCACTATGCGCCAAGGCTTGAAGAAGACCCGTGAAAAGAGAATCGACATACAGCACCTATTCGTCGACTTTAAAGCAGCCTTCCACAGCATGTCTGAATTCGGTATGCCAGCAAAACATATACTATACATATGAACTGACGTTAGGCAACATCAAAAGCTTCGTTAGGAACCGGTAGAACCTCGCCGAGACGTACGATACCAAACGCGGCTTCAGACAGAGTGATTCCTTATCGTGTGAATAGATAATAGAGAAGTTACAACATTCTATAATAACAATAACTGCTGGTGTATACCGGATACTGACACCTCGCTATGAGTTCTGCTTTCTCCAGGCTGAATAAGGAAGCGAAGGTGATGGGTCTGGTAGTGTACAAGGTCAAAACGAAATATCTCTTCCCATAAAATAAACATAAAATTAACAGTGATCCCATTCGCGACTCAGCTCCCACATCACTGCTGTTAGTCATTGCATTGAAATCGAAGATGGCTTCGTCGGTCTGTACTGATTCCCAGTATTAGCACTAACGACAAATCAATCTTGTGAACAGGTGCTTCTTTGCACTGAGCGGCCAATTGAAAAGTAATGTCCTCTCCCAACGGACAAAGCCCTCACCATCATTCCCGTCCTGCTATATGGCGCGGAGGCATGGATAACATTTGATGAGTTGGTTGAGTTGTCAGTTTTTGAGAGTAAGGTTTTGCGTAGGATTTATGGTTCTCGGCGCGTTGGAAACGGCGAAACTCGCCGACGACGGAACAATGAGCTGTACGAGTTCTACGTCGACATTGATATAGTTCAGCTGGCTGGGTCATGCGGTACGGATGGATAAGCTTTACAAGTATTCGATACAAGAACCGCTGGTGAAAGCTGATGAAGAGCAAACCTTGCATCAGGTGGAGAGAGATCTGAATTCACTTGGTATCTTCGATTTGTACCACACGACTAAGAGAAGAAGTTAATGGCTCTATAGACACCATGGTGATGTGATCTCCATACCGATTACTCTCTCAATCTTGAAAGGTTCATATCAATTCAATATGCTTTTCCTCAACTGCCAGCCTACTACAGCAGGTGGTCATAGCCGAGGCAAGAGCTCCTCTAACATCACTGACCAAACTCACCAAGGCAACCGGTTCGTTGTCATGTTGATTTAATTAAATTTTCGAGTAATGTAAAGTACCGTAGTGATTTTCACAAACCGCTACTTGAACAAACATAACGGTTGTATATGCCAACATCACCACCATCAAATTAAATTAGAAGCTCACAAGCTCACAAAAAAGTGTTTACAACTCTCCGGGGAGGTAATTATTTCAATCAGCGACCGATAATTTACTGACATATGTTGTTGCTCACAACAACAACAACAGTAATAGCAATAATAATAACAACAACAACTCACTGGTGTCACTGGTGAAATAAACAGGAACAACAACAAATCGTTTACCCACCGAAACATCCACCCGGCGAAGCAACAACAAATGCCATATGATGGTATGGAAGCGTGAAGCGAGGACGAGTGCGAGGGGAGGTGTACGGACAACCGCGCAAACGGTTGGTGGTTCGCAGGCAGCGAAATGAGCAAAATAAATCAAAACACCCAAGTTTTTGTTGTTGCTGTTCTCGCTTGTTTTGCGGCTAAATTTCAGTTGTTGTTGTTGTTGTTGTGTTACAAACACGCATAATTTCATTAGGCTCCGGCCTCTACGCCGGATGTTGCTGTTGCTACTGCTGCTGCTGTGTGGTAGGACGAAGAAAAAAAGAAGTGCCGAGATTTACAAGAACAATAGCGTAAAACAGGAGCTGCAAGCTGTTTGTGTAGTTGTGTGCTTAGCATGGAATTCATTTGATTGTCATTTGACACCGCAATGAGGCAATTTTGCGTAAAATTCCCTCCGTGCGATAAAGAGGGGTGCAGATTGCAGACAGACAGAATGTTTTGTATAGGATTTGGGCATCCTTGTGAGCATATGTATGTACGGGTATGTACATATGTATGCGTGCTGTGCATGCAGCTGTATACAGTGCGAGGGTTGTTTTCATCCAGTAGCAGCAGACTACCACAACTACTGCCAGCGAAGCTCCGCCCATGGCTGGTGGACATCTGCAATGTGTGGAATGTGTGGTAATGAAACACACAAAAGGCTGGCCGCGGCAGTATAAAAAACATATTTACTGCGTTGATCGAAAAATGAAGCATAGTAAAATATAGGTCAATGGCAGGCTTGCCCGTGGAGAGTTGAAAGTCTTCTACATCTGCTTAATTGTGATAAGCACCGCTTAAACGAGTGAAGAATAGCGCGCCAGTCGTTTTTTCTCTTCACAAATCTGAGCCAGTTGGTGACACTAGGTATGGTCAGAGCCTTCTCCGCCTAATCTCCCCAACGGAGTGGTTGTTTGCTTCTTCTCTGCTGCATTCATCTGGACAACAGATGACAAGTCCGGCGTGGCCGCTATCTCTTAGGGCTCTAAACTATGTCTCAGTAATCCTTTATAGCGTTTAGCCCATCAACACCATCAGCGCATTTCGTTCCATCTTCTATGGTATACGACGTCACCAGTATGAAAAGCTCCACAAATCAAACAAAAAAAATGTTCTCTCGAAAGCCCCTAATGCCGGTTGTCCGCTCATTTACAACACACAGCAGAACGAAAATGGTGAGGGATTTGTAGAGTTCGATCCCAGTTCGTCGTGAGAGGATTTTACATTTTAATTGCCTAGGCGGTCCAAAGTAGTACCAGTTGGTAAGAGTGAGTCTCCGTTTGATTTCAAGGCTGACTTTTTGTTTTTGAAGTTCAAGCTGGTTCTTAGATCAGATGAACTTTTCCACGACTTCAGCCATAACATCAACAGTAACGTGGAAGCCGATTCATGATTGCGACGACTGTTTGTTTGATGATAGCAGATATTCCGTCTTGCTCTCGTTCACTATCAGACAAAAACGGCTCGCTTCCTTATCCAGTCTGGAGAAAGCATAATTCACGCTGCGGCTGTTGAAGCTAACAAAAAGAACCCTTGTCTGAAACTTTGTTTGGTACCGAACGGGTCTGAATCCTGGCGCAGCTTTTGATCTTGTACAGCTTCAGTTTACAAAGCCGTTTAGATTTGAGGAATCCAAAGTTCAAACATAGCGGGGTAGACACAGCTCCTTTTCGTACTATCGACTCTTTTCCCACGGCGCTCTATAAGACTTTACATACTATATTGAGGTCGTTTATCCTACGATAACTGGCGCTTATTGTGGAGGAAATTGATACCTCCAGAAAAACGAGCCCATAGATTACCTCTTTGAGTCCTCTCTCCGCTTTCCGAGCTGCTCTCAGTTGCAGCTTTTCGACGGAAGGCTACTTATATTCATAGACGGGCATTTCGTGCTGCTCCGAGGTGGAAAAATAAGTAAGACACTGGATACTTGTCTTACGTTTATCATTATATGCTCGATTCTTCCGGAGACAGGCTAGTAGAATGATTAATTTTCTTCTTCTGGAGTCTAGTGCTACAGACAAGCTTATTAGGGTCCCTGGTGAGGGCGATCAGCCTGAACCACCGTGGAGGCTGAATTTTCCGATTATGGTGACGGAGATACTTTCCTTGTCCACCCTTATGTTAAAATGGTCAAACACAATATTGACATCGTGGTGCCGCAGCGCTCATAAAAGACATATTTAGTCATATTGTTCATCTCCTCCGTCGAAACGAAGGCGCAAATTCGTTTTGATGTAGATTATGGCGGGTCGTTCATTCAAAGTAATGAGTGCCGGGATTTGGCGACGGAATCCTTCTCTCTCTACGCATGCGGTAACAAATTTGAGCTCCTTTCCTTAGTCGCACTTGTACAAGTAGCGAGGACTTACTTGTTTCCGCCCTTGTGCCGTCCATAGGAATTTTAAACAAAAATACCCTACTGAACCTCTGAAGCGGATGCAGCGGCTCCACTGAAGCTCTTATTCTTTTAGTCCCTCACAGGTTGGTTAACGTTACTCACACAAAGGTTGCAAACTCACTACAAATCTGATACTCGTTAATCTTTTTCGGCGAAAAACTGCACAGTGTTCAATTTTTATAAGAATAACTAAAAAATAAATAATTTATTTTACCAAACTTCAAATGGCATCACAACAGTCAAGAGTAGTACATTTAATAATACAACAAAACTCACGCTCCATATCAAACCTCCTTAATTAGTTTCCTTTTATTAACATCGACATGCACCAGACGCAAGCTCCGACCCACAGTCGCCACTGGGCGTACGAAATTATTAATAGTCTCAGCAATAGGCTCCAAAATATCACGAATGGAGGTCAAAATATTATAAATCAAAATGAGTGGTGGTTGTAGGAAACCATTGAAGAACACCGTCAATATCGGTTTAATTAAATAATCGGAAGTCATGTGCAGAAAGCCCACCACAAGCGTATTTACAAGTGAGAAGAGCACAAAGCGATATGCCTGCAGCAGAAAAGTCACAAAGAAGGTAACGCCAATATGTAAACTGCCAAAGAACTCGGCCCAGAAACGTGTCGCATAGTAGGTGGCGCGCTCAGCCAATACTACGGACAACAGCTGGGGCTGACAATCGGTTGTGCGCAAATAATCCGCACAACCATGCTCGAAAGGATAGATGCCGATGCGCGTCTCACGTATGGGTGGCGGTGTTTTCTCCCTTTGTGGCAACTCTCTGTTGTCCTCTGCTTGCTGTTGTGCTTGAGCGAATTGCGCGGGTAATTCATCAAAAATATCATTACATTTAGGTGCTTTTGGTTTCGATATATGCGCACGTGCTGCACGCATATTTTCCAGTGAATGTCGTAAACGTTGAAAAATTGTATTATCACTATTGCCGCCACGTGGTGCATGATGACAGGGGCAATATGTGTCGGCATTTTTGCTCGCACTATTCTGATCAGCGAAAAGCTTGCGCTTACTCTTTTTGTGACTGCATTTCGCAGTCGATGCAGGTGTGCTTTTCGAACGGCGTACACGTCTTGTTGGTGTTTTATAAAGTTGAAATTCGATTTTGGAAGGCGTTGGATTACGTTTGCCCGGATGACGTGTGGACGCTTCACGTACGGCGCGCATCTCATACAGCAATTTAGCTGGATTTTCTGCACCCGTTTCTGTTTCAGCTTGAGAGTCATTAGAAAATTTATTGTACTTCATCTTATGACCATGGCGATCGTGAAAGAGCAGTTGGCCATTTTCTGTTTCTGTTGACGAGAGCGAAGATTGCAGCAAATTCTTCAGCGGCGACTGCAACTTAGCTGTGACACCAACGTGTTGCACTTCAATTAGGTTCGTCTTCGAAGTAGAATTACGTTCGCGTGGCGTATCGGACATTTCGTTTTATTTCGAAGATGATTTGTTTAGAAAATATTTTGTTGTATACTTTCAACAATCAAAAACTTTTTAACAAAGAAGAGCAGAGTTGATTGCGATAGTTATGAGTTGTGGTTAAATTAAAATTAGAAGAAAGAAATTCAGGTCAAACGCGCACGCTAGTCGAAGTGATAAATTGTGGCCCGTGAATTTTTATGATGAAAGTAAAACTATGTTCCTATAGAAATTTTCTGCTTCAAACAAGTCTTCTTTTCAGTAACTTTAAATATTAAAACACATCCACTTCGTTTTTGTGGACAAGAAACTGCGATAGTTAAATTTAACGAGGAAATAATCTCATTTCCTTCGTTGACTTCCTTTCATTCACGGCGCCATCTTTACACATTTATTTCTCATATAGAGGATTTTAATTGAGGAATTTTAGCGTCACAAACGGAAATCCTTTACTATTTGCAGAGCCAAAAAATCAGCTGATAGCTAAATAAGCGTTGCCATGCAACTTGCTCATATAGCAGAGCGAAATTAAGGCATCTTTTAAAATCAAGCTCAAGTCATTTAAGCTGTTTTCTTTTTTTCCTAAATAATAATGATTTTAATCCAAATTGAAAAACAACATGTTTAATTAAAAAGTTATTAAAACAGAAAAACTTTGTGATAAGACTTCTTTAAGTGGCTTTTTATCAGCACGACTACTCAACACAATGCTGTGGTCCGGCAACTACCCACCATTTAATCTAATCAGAAAATTCAGAGTACGGAGTTTAATTTTTTCTTTACAGTTTAGTAATAATTTTTAATTTCATTCTAATTTCAACAATTTTCTTCACGCAAAACTATTATTACAAATAGAATTTAGTGATATTTATCGCAAAGAGTAAAAAAGGCTGATAAGAACAAACAAAAAACAAAAACGCACAAACCAGCGACAATAGTGTAGAAAATAGTAAAAAAAAAACTAAAACTAATATAAACTTATAACGCACAAAGCATATTCCATTTACATATAATTATATACATAAATAAATTGAAGCACAAAATCAAAGAATAGCATTTATAACATTTAGATGTTCTCGTCCGCTTGGAGAAACGTACAGCAGGGTGTTGTACGTAATCTGACCGCTGCTTATTTTCGAGGTGTGTGCAGTAGTGGTGGTCGCCCGCTTGCCGGTGCGAGTGCAATTGTACTAGCCACCAACCGGTGTAGTCCGGAATTTGTGTCGCTGCGACGAAATGATAATCAAAGTGATTGTTTTTTGAAATTAGTTAATTAGTATCAGAAAAAAACATAATTATATAGTAATGAAAAGTAAAAAAACAATCTTTTTTAAACATTGTTTTTTTCTCTTTTGCAGTCCAAAAATTGTTGAAAGTTGGTATAAACAGAATGCATAGTTCCGTAGAAGATTTGAAATTAAATTCTATGCATATAAAAGTGCTGCCAGCATTGCAGGACAATTTCATGTATTTGGTAAGCGTTGTTCACAATTAACTTGCTCTCTAGTCTAAATCGAATTTAAAATATTTTTAGATTATCGACAACACAACAAAGGAAGCTGCTATTGTTGATCCTGTTGACCCGGAGAGTGTACTTGAAGCTGTGCGTGCAGAAAATGTACAACTTACTAAGGTTTTAACCACTCACCATCACTGGGATCATGCCGGCGGTAATGAGAAATTAGTAAAGCTTTTCGGCAAGCCATTGACAGTTTATGGTGGCGATGATCGTATTGGTGCGCTAACAAACAAAGTTAAACAAGATGATAGTATAACTATTGGCAATTTAAAAGTTAGTTGCCTTTTCACACCCTGTCATACAACAGGACATATTTGTTATTTTGTTGAGTCACCAAATGGCGATGATCGTGTAGTTTTCACCGGCGACACACTCTTTCAAGGTGGCTGTGGGCGCTTTTTTGAAGGCACACCCGATCAAATGTATTCAGCTTTATGTGAGAAATTGTCTTCCCTGCCCGAAGACACAAAAGTATTTTGTGGTCATGAGTATACATTGCAGAATATGGCCTATGCACGCCATGTAGAACCAATGAATGATCGTATTATGAAGCGTATAGAATGGGCAAAATTGCGTCGTGCTACAAAATCACCAACCGTGCCCTCAACAATTGGTGAGGAGAAGTCTTGGAATCCATTTATGCGTGTACATGAACCTAATGTACAGAAACATGCTGGTGAAAAAGATCCTATAAAAACAATGGGCAGTTTACGTAAGGAGAAGGATAATTTCCGGGCTTAAATTTCAGCAGCAAGGGATCTTAATATGGTGTTGGGGCATCTTTTCACCTATTACGCGCAAATCTTTCTTTATATTTGTTAAATTTTTTCGTTATTATGTTTTTAATATATGTGATCAATTCCAGGTATCTACTAATTAAAAAAAAAAACAAAAAAAAAAATATGAGCAATAGCATTAGCTTACCCTTAAAAGCTATAAAATGTATAAGAAAAACTTCTTACCCGTTTTTATATACTTTATTTACGCATGTCAATATTCCAATTGAATTTAATATTGAAGTAACCATTTGTGATTTATGCCTAAAAATTTAAAATTGTAAATTTAATAATAGAAATTACATAGTTGAAATAAATGTACTCACTATTTGGGCGTGGATTAGCCCATAAAATATACAAACATGGTTGGTATTATTCTTACAATCCAGATCAAATTAACCTTCTTGATATGTTGAAATGTAGCATGTCTTGCGCAACGTTTGTGGACCGATAAGGCGGCTGCTGCTAAGCCGCCAGCCGCACCGGATAAACTTCATAGTCAAATTGTGGACGTGCGTTGTGAAGGTATGGTAGTTAAAATATTACCCGCACGCGACAATAACTACATGTATCTGGTAATTTAAATGTTCAATTTTTCCGCTTCAATTATGTCTACTTTAATTTGAGTAATTCAGATAACCGATTTGCCCACGGGTTGTACAGCTGCCATAGATTTATCCGATAACAAACTTCTCTTTGAAACACTCAAGAAAGAAAATTTAACTCTCTCCTATGCTTTTATCACACATCATCATGAAGATCACGCAGGCGGCACAGAAGAATTGGCTGCTCAATATCCCGATGTTAAAATATGTGCTGGTGATGAGCGTATAAAATGTGTAACTCATTGTGTAAAGAATGATGAGAAACTGAAATTAGGCGAGATGACTTTCAATTGCATGCATACGCCGTGTCATACAGTAGGCCATTACTGTTTCTTTGTTGAATGTGGTGCAGGTGGGCCGCCAGCACTCTTCACCGGCGACACACTCTTCCAAGGTGGCTGCGGTGGCTTTGGCGAGGGTACGCCCGAACAAATGGTTGCCATTGTCGATCGCTTTATGTCACTGCCGAAGATGACGCGTGTCTTTGGCGGTCATGAGAATACAATTGCAAATTTACGCTTCGCCCAATGTGTAGAACCGGAAAATTCGAATGTTAGCGCACGTCTGATGTGGGCACAGAAACAACGAGAGAATAAACTGCCAACACCACCGTCGTTATTGTGCGAGGAAATGTGTTTTAATCCATTCTTACGAATTGATCATCCGGATGTGCAAAATTACGCCGGCGACACAGATCCGATTTATGTTATGTTTTGTTTGCGCAAACAACGGGATGCCTTCAAGTAGAGGGTGTGCCGAGCGAAAATTATATAAAAATAACTTGTTGTGAGTTCTTTAATAAAACTTCTAATCTTATCGATGTTTGTACATATATAAGAAATTTGAACTTTTGTATTATTATTATTATTATGCTTTATTTAACTATATAAATACAAAAACTTGGGAAACATATCAGCATACGTATGCTTTTGCACAAATTACTTATGCACTTGTGACACTCTGCAATTGGCCACTAAAAACAGTTGACAGGAAAAGGAAGTCCCGTTACATAAGTTGACATTTCCGATTGTCAGTTAAACACGTGAGATGTAGTAATGATTTAATCAATTTTGTGAAATTTGTGTAAAATTTGTATTATAAAATATTGATGTATATTAAAAATTAGCTAAACGCAAAAGTGATATGAATTAATAGCAAATACACATGTATTGTATATGCATACATAAGCCGGCAGCAGGTTGCGCATTACGAACTCGATCGAAGTAGTTGTGGTACGTTGCTTTATGTATATTGCGAATATCCTTATATTTCGTGGTATATTTATGTACGTTATCAAACAATAACATTTATTTTATTTGATAATAAATATTTCATAGGTTTATATTATATATTGTTATTAAGTCGTGTAGTTCATATTGTATTTTCATACGACTTTTTTGCGGTTAGAATTAATTATTTTACTTATTTCCTCTTGCTTTAACAACTCTTCCCTCAAAAATCAAATCCAGATAGAGAATTTTATTCATGAATATTTGGAGTGTTTCAATAAAATTCATTAAAGGTAGATATGATGGCATTGCACTCGGTCTCAGGGTGTAGTTGTTGATGGTATAAAGTGTGTTCTGCACATAAATACATAAATTAATTATAAATAAGTAAATAAATAAATAAAAAAATAACAGAAAAAATAATAAATAAATAAATAAATAAATAAATAAATAAATAAATAAATAAATAATTAAATAAATAAATAAATAAATAAATAAATAAATAAATAAATAAATAAATAAATAAATAAATAAATAAATAAATAAATAAATAAATAAATCAATAAATAAATAAATAAATAAATAAATAAATAAATAAATAAAAAAATGAATAAATAAACAACTAAAAAACTAAATTAATTAAGTAAAATAAATATATATTGTATGCAATAAATAAAGCAGGAACAAGCGTGCAAATTCAGCTTACCTTAATCAATGGACATAAAATCACCGGCTTAGCAACTTGTTGTAACTCTATAATAGTTAATTTGATTAAATTATTCTCATAATTGCCACTTAACATATCACAAGCATTAGTTATCTCTGATGTTGCTTCATTCACTGTGACATTATCTTCACGAATAATGTTAAAATTGTCCTTTATTTGAAAATTAGTAATATTTTGTTGCATACGTATGTGTAAAGTGAAGGTGCTCAAATCAATTATATTACGGCCACAATAGAATTTCTCAACAACTATTAAGCCATGTCGGTGAATGGTATAATTAACGTGATCTAGTAATATAGCGTAGTTCCGCTAAAGAGTAAAATTAAAAATTAATAATTTATAGCGCAATAATTTAAAATGTTTAAAAATACGCTTACCTTTGTAGCGCCATCAGCAAAGTGCATTGTTAGAAAGATACAGATTATAATGAAAAATGCTTCAGACAACATTTTAACTTTGTTAGCCATTTCCGCTTAAATGGTGATTTATTTACATTTTGAATACACAGCAGTACACGAACGATTACCACTGTGTCAAGTGCAATTAAATATCCATTAAACTTTGTTTTTTAAATTTACATTTAACCACTTAAAAAACAATTTTTCTTAATTTTTTTTAACAAAATTTACTAATAAAATATGCAGCTACATCTGACGTTTGATTGTAAAATTGTATAAAAATGTATAACAGTACTATATGAAAGGGATAACCGTCGAAAGAGTATAATTGTGTACGCGAGGAGCGTAAGTCCTTGGCATAATGGCGTAAAATTGCGTAATTACTTACACTCATTTTTCGAAATATTGGTAGTTTTTGGATTTATTTCCTTTCAAACTTCCGTATTTTACTTAGTAGATTAAAAAAAAAATGTATATCATGCAAGCAAAGCATCCCTAAACCCCTTTTACACTTTTACTAGCCACAGTGACGTCACAAAAAGAAAAACTATGCCAAGTACCCCTGCGAATATATTTCATATTAATCACTTTAATGGTAATAATTAAAACATTACAAAGCAAAATAAGTAAACAATAGCAACTTAAGATGAAGTAAAAAAAGTAGCAGAAAACAATACTACGCTTTTTCCACTACAAAAGAAAAATGAAATACGAAAAGTGCAATACACATCTACATATATTTGTACGTGCAACAGTGCAATAACCGAGAATATGAAGTGCTGCTCAGTATCTTGGTTGACAGTGAAAAAATGTGCCATCAAATATAGCAAGTGAAAGCGAAGAAGAAAAGCACATCAACACATACACGTACATACATATGTACATCCGCTAGCGGAAAACATAAGTGACTATGACGCCGACATAAGTGCTATTATGCAGTAAGAACGTTAAAGCAAAAGTGAGCAAAAAATTACAGCAATAATATAAAAATAAAGAGAGCAGCAAGGCATTTGCCAAGAAGAAGAGGAAGAGGAATAAGAAAAGTGAATAGCGAAAGCAAAAAAAAAAAAAACGTAAAAATAATGTACACCTCGGAGTATGTGTTTCTTTCAAGTAGCAACCGCAGCTAATATAGCCACAATGGCACCAATAAGCAATAACAATTCTAATACAATTGAGTAGATCTCACATTTGAAACTATAAAAATCTACAATTGCTGAACTGTCGAAATTTTAGAATTTTTTGAGTGTTAGACAGTTAAAGATTGTGGTCTGCGATATTTAACTAAAGGGCTCTTGAAGTGCTAGTGTTTCAACTGAACCTTAAATCAAACTTGTAAGCGTTGCTGTATAGTGGTCGTAAGGTTTCCTTTTTACAGACTATTTTGTTATTTAAAATATTCCTGTGGTATTAAAATCTAGTGAAAAATTTTCAAAGCAGCTCTTTTTGCTTGCCGTTTTGTTTTGATTATGGTTTCTTTTTCTGTAGCCGCAAGTCGCAAGTCTCGGTCGCCAGCTAATCAAAATGTATTTACCAACACTGATTGATGGTTATGTTTTCCTGTTGTCAAAGCGCATTAGGCACATAACCCCAGAAGGCTGGGTTGATATTGTTGGAACAATTCTGTCGTTCCAAGCTGACAGTTATTTCTGCTGTTTTTGCGCCCAAATGCAGTTCCTTCCTATTTTCATCATCAGTTTGAGGAAGAGTTTGAGGAAGAAATGTCAAAAGTGTAGAATTTTCATGTTTCTTACCATCGCATTTATACTGATTTACTTATTTACCAGAGCACAAAAAGTATAATGGTATTTCCAAGCAACTTATTGCTTGCTTAGTAGAGAAGGAAGTGAAAAAGAAACTGAAAACCACAACTTGCAATAGAAGTAAAAACAAAATATTGCAGTATTATCACTACAGTATATAAACGTATATTTTTTGGCTGAAAAAAAATGAGGTTAGTAACATAAAGATTTACAGAAAATTACTAACAATGCACAAATTCACAATAGAAAGGACAACAAGCATAGCGTAAAACAATACAGCAAATCCACAAATATGAGTAAGTATCAGTAATCATACAAATTGAGTAGTGAAACAAAATTGTAAAATCAGAAGTGGCATATACTCATACATATTTATATACACATATATACGACGAACGTGGTCATCCTTCGTGGTGGTCTTTACCCAATAAGAGTTTGTATATCCAACTACAGAATATTGACATTTCGTTCTTCAACTGTTGTCTGGACGCTTGAATGACTGTCCTGCTAGCAAACAACAATTCAATTGTAGATGGACAATCAACAACAAGATTGCTTGTAACGCTTTACTACTACACCCACAAAAGTTGGTTATCAAAATAAAAAATGCAACAATAGTAAAGTTAGGTTGAAGATGAGTTTGTATATATAAAGTACATAGATGCAGTTTAGAATGATAAAATTGATGGAAGTACGAGAGTACGATATTTAAACGCCGAGACAATGTGCAGTGAGGAAGCTGAAATGTTTTTGTTACTGCAGTTGGCTGAAGTTGGGAAGATGTGTGGTCAATTGAAATAGTGTTAGAAACGTAGTTGAATTAATACTTGGAATTTTATAGTAAAAAGTGATAAAACGAAGTAAAAAAGCTGAGGAACAAAATAAACGGAATGAGGGTATTTGAAAATCTTCAGCTTATGACAACAGCTAATATTTTTCATTGAAAATCAAAAAACAAAATTTAGTTTTTAAAATTATACAGAATCTAACGAGCTTTGCAATTGTCCTCACTGACCAATTGTCTATAGTTTAGAGGTGGATATATACTGGTAAATAACAAGTCGCCCATTTTTCAAAGTACAATGTGAAGCGAATTATCATCTTTTCACGTTCGTCAACCAATATGACCATTGAGTGTTGACGCAGTCTTGAGCATTTACGATTTTCGTTGGCATAGTGTGCTGCGTCACTAATCTTTAAATGAGATTTCATTAGAAAACTACTTTCCATCATTTTCGACTCTTTGGAACACATTTTTTCTATATAGTAAGTTCCTGTCTAAACCTGATCTTGCGATTGATGCCCAGAATATATTGAATTTCTGAATTTATGGAGGGAACACTTCTCCACCTTGCTGAATGGCAGTGAACATCGATTCCAGATATCCAAATAAAAATGCACTCCCCAATACACAAAAAAGGGAACTCCACAGTCTGGGCTAAGTATTGTACGACAAGACTGCTGAATATCATATATAAAGTTCAAATCTTCCACAAACTGACTGACTTAGATCTGGTGAATCAATCAATTACCAGATATTTACCAGCTGCCAAATCTTGGAAAACACCCAAGAAGAGAATCGACACACACCAACTTATCGCCTACTTTGTTGCTGCCACTCTGTCTAAATTTGGTATCACCGCAAAATTTATAACACCACCAAAAGCTTCGTTAGGATCGAGAAGCACCTCTCTAAGTCCTTCGATGTCGAAAAAGGTTTCAGCCAAGGTGACTCCTTAACGTGTGATTTCTTTGATCTGAAGAAAATAATACTAGTTGCAGAGCTGAATAAGGTAGGAATATTCTTTTAATATAAGACGAAATTCCACGATGTCATCCTGCACATTCACTTTTACCAACAGTTTTCACTTTGAACTGAGTGGGCAATTGGAAAGTGAATTCATCACTCAGGCGATGGAACTATGAGTTGTACGAAATATAAGCCGACATTGACAACGGCTGCGCTGGTAGAGTCATGTGATTTGAATGGGTGGGAATAGTCCGTCTTTGAAAGAGGAAGATCTCAGCTCCTTTGGATAGACCAGATGGAGAAGAACCTGGCTGTACTTGGTTGGCGCGGTATTGCTAACTCGGCTAAAATTGCTTAAGCGGTGTTTTCACCAGTAAACAAGAAGAAGGCATTAAATACTTTTGCTATTGTATTTAAAAAAAAAAAAAAACATTTCACCTTCGATTTTAATAACCAAAAAGTGAAAAATGGCGAATAAAATCATAGGTGGGCAAATAATATTGATAACCGTTAGTTGATTATGTTGTCATGTATTATTGCTAGTTCACACTCTTAATTGAATTTCAATATCCACACATAATACTGAGGAACGCGCTTAAAAGAAAGCTATTACTACGGGGGCACATATTTTTAATAAAACTGTCTGCCTCCTTGTCTTTCACTCTATGCTCTAAATTTGCTATAAGTTCACTGACGACTCTGCTATTTTTTGCATTCTGTTGTTATTTTTCATTAAAGAATATCGTAAGACAGCAAGTAGAGTGGTGATAAATGGCATGTAAGACACGAAATGGGGGACAAATGGTAAAAAACAATTAAAATCAATGTTATTGACGTGTGCGAAATCTCCTCAAGCGACTACGACCAATAAACGGTAGGGGCTGCAAAAACAAAACAAAAAAGGGAAAAATGGAATGGAAGCGTTAAATATTGAGATTCCTTACGTTTTCCGAATGACAGGGAGTTGAGCATCAATGAACCTTTTATTAACTGAACATTGCAAATGGAGAAAAGATGAGTAAACACTGACAAGCACTGCGAGTGACAGCACGACAACAAGACTGGCGTGTATTGAGTGTCATTCCAAAAGATTTCAGTAGGTTATAAATTTTCAATATGCTCAGGAGGGGAAAAATGCAATTCTGTTTTTTCTGTTATTCCTTTTTTTTCGTTTCCGTTCTCGTTATCGTTCTCGTTCTCGCCTCACTTTTCAATACGCCTTTCAGTGTTCACGCTTCAATGGCACAGCTCTTCCGGATTTTTAATTTTACAATGACAATGTTCTTGCATCATATTATAAATGGATTCAATTTCATGTAGAAAGTTCTCCAACAAGTCCGGACGTCGAAATATATTGGGATCTACGGTGACATTGTTATCTTTCAGTATACTCCAACGTTTCATGCTATTTACGATGTCCTCGCAGAAATCTGGTTTCTTTTCTATAGCAATTGAAGGATTACGTTGCTGTTGTTGTGGTTGTTTTGACTTCGCCGAGCCTGTGAATGCTAATAAAGAAAGGAGAAATAAATCAAAGTCACCTTGCTGCCGTCATACTTACGCCCGCTCTTCTTCTTTACTTTTCGCTCTCCACCATCTTGCGGCTTCAAAAGGTAACGCCGCCTTTCGCGTATCTCACTTCGCGCCGCCTGTTCGTACATATTCAATATTTTATACATACGACGATCTACATCCTTCGACTTATCAAAAGCCTCACATTTCGGATCGCAATAACCGCGTATATTTGGTCCTGGATATGGCACGATTGTATTGAAAGTCGATTGAATAAATTTTTTGCGTGCATCATGTTTTTGAGTATCCAATCTGAGTCGAAGCTCACGCACATATTTATTGTGTTGTTTGAAAGACATGGCCGCCAAGAGCTTTTCGACTTTGGAGAGGCAACTGAAAGTAGATGAGAATTAGCGAATTTTTTAAATACACCAACTGATATTTGGCACCCTAACGCACTGAGAGTTACGCAATGAATATACACCCGGTATTTGATAGGTGCGCAACATGTGATGCAACTTAAAGGCCACACAATGCAATAGATCCTCGGCCGTAAGAACTTGTGATTTCAATAATTTATTATGATCGTGTATATATTGACGTGTATACCAGCCGCGCCACAACGCTTGTATCTTCTGTGCTTGACGAAAGTAATATTTTTCTATTGCCAGCTGGGCTTCTTCTTCCAGCTTACGATACTCCAAACGTTTCTTATAGAATTTACGCCATTCATATTGTATGCGTATGGCAGCGGTGCGCTTACGTTGGTAAATGAGTCGGTAATACCAACGACGTAGGTATTTTTGTATAGTGCGTGCGGCCTTAAATTGTAAATAGTCTAGGACGAGCAGTGATGTGCTGTGGGAAATTAAAAAAAAATTTCAAATATTTTTCCACACGGGTTGTGCGTGTCCAGAAAATCTCTCACCGTGATAATTGCATTTTCGATTTTTGTTCCAAGTCCGTAGTGGACCACATCTCTTCGTACCTGGAAAAAAATGTATAAAAAAACTCTTAGCTTTCAAGCTTTATAAAGGTATCGAGCTTTTATGGATTTTGGAACTTCTAAAAGGTCTACTGAAGAAGATATAACAAACTTTAAGGTTCGGAGAGGCTTCTAAGCTGTGTTTCATATAAATATGAATTTCAAAAATGAGCTTTAACGCTTTCACTTCGTATATTTTACATCAGAGAAGCTTCATACTGGATATTTTTATACCGAATTCTAAATACTGATCCTAATTTTGTATTTTTAAATAGTAAGATGATGCTTTAGCTAAGAGATAATTTTGCACTTACAAAAAGTGAAACTTAAAAAGCTTACAATCAGCTTTATGCTCAATTATGTTGCTTTGTTTTTTTCCTAACTCACAAAGCTTGTGTGATTCTTTTGTTAATCTAATTAATAAAGCTTTAAGCTCTAAAAGCTCTTAAAAGCTACAAGTATGTATAAACACTTTCATCTTTTGTATGAAATATTTTGAGCCAGAAAATTTTTTATGCAACGGTAATTGAAAACTACAGCTAATAAAAGTTTGTTTGCCACTTTTTATTTTTTTTTTATATATTTTTTGCGAAACTATTCTAGTTTTGTACATTTCTTTTTTAAAAGACAAGTTTACTTCTTGGTATATAACTTTTGATAAACTGTCGCATCGAAATTCTTGAATATAGTTCTGAATTAGGTTGGCATTAGTTACCGAAGCTTTTAAGCTAAACAAAGATTTTCAAATTAATAAAAAATTTCAAATTAATAAAAAATTGCTCTGCATTTAATTTTGATTTAAATGAAAAGTGAAGTGTTTTGACTTTTAAATTTTATTTAAGATTACGAAGGCGTAAAAAGCTCAAAATGTCATGTTTACGGCTGCTTTTTAATTAACCAGAGCAGTGAAAGTTTCTCAGCTGTGCTTTTAATTCAGAAAAATACCGTAAGATTAGTGATTCTTATTCAAGTGCTTTGAGTTTTCACCATATTTTATGATTATAAAAGCTCAATAAAATTTTACCGTTTATGCTTTTGATTAACAAAAGCTTAAGCAACGCTAATAAACTTATTAAAATTAATGGAAACAGAAAAATGATTCTTAAAGTTTTGTCAAATTCAATCATACTGTTATATAACGAAAGCTTTAATTGCATGTGCTTTTAAATTAATAAAAACAATATAAGTTTCTCAACTCTGCCTTTCAATTATTTCAAATTAATACAGTCGAAGTAAGGATTCTTAGAGCTTTCATTTTCTAAGTTTTTAAAATTTCTTAAAACCTAGTGGAACACTTTTTATGCTCAATCAAAAGGTATACAACAAGCTAAGCAAAAGCTCATGGGAACCTTTTTCGTGGAAGCTTAAAGCTCGTTAGCCCCTTCAATCTGTCCTAACAGAGCATATTATGAAAAATATCTCATTAAAAAATTCTATAATATAAATAAAAGCTCTTACCAGCTCTGGAAATCTTCTTGTGAGAAAAACATATACTTTGAGTCGAGCATACTTTCGTTTGTACGCAGCGGTACATCCGATTCAACGTTATCCAACTCATCAACGATTGTTTTTTTGCGCAAACGACGTAAGGATTTTTTATTAGCCATTGTTTAGCGTTTAAAAGAGCTTTTATTGTTTAGTACAAATTTTTTCGTTAATAAAAATGGATTTTAAAATTCCTTAAAAAAATATGCTCAGACAAAAATAGTGTCGATAAAATATTTATTTTTGTGACTGAAACACAATTTTTCAAAAAACTGTTATTTTGAAATTTCGTTTTGTGCTTGATGGCTGCTCATTTTATATTAAATTTATGCATTTGTATATACTTAGCCGCTTCGTCTTTTTCATTAGTAAAATATAAAAGATTTTTTAATTTAGTTTTTTCTTTAATTTTTGCTAATTGTTTTGTTTTCTTTATTTACTTTTTAATACATAATTACATTTTCGTATATATATGTAACAGCGTTTAAAGTAATTATATTTTTTATATAATATATTTTAATATTTAATATTTTTGTAAAATTTATTTAATTACTTTCAATAAATTTTTAAGCTTTTTATTTGCTTTAATATTTTTTTATAATTAATTCTAAATATTTATATAAAATATTTATAGAGAGTGTTAGGGTGAGTGATAAAATTATGAGAATTTCAAAAACTTAACTTTATAATACATATTTAAATATATTTATATATATATATACATATATATGTTTTCATAACTATACAACTTAAAATTTAGAATTTATAAAAAGTAAAAAAATAATAAAAATAAAAAATTAGTTAAATGTTGAAAAAATTAAAAACTACAACATTAAATTTACAGTCGATATTTTATTTGAGTAAAAAAATTTAGAAAACTATCTTTAAATAATTCAAATTTCTTTTAAATAATTAAAAATATTTAATTACATAATTATTTAAGCTTTAGCAAAATTTTAATTGTTTTTAAATTGATTAATTAAAATATTTAATGTATAAAATAATTAAATATACTTCTTTGCATTTATTTTTAATTTAATAAATTTTGTTGTTAAATTTGTTTTCCAAAGGTCTTAAAGGGTTTTTTAAGTTTAAGATGAAATATTATTTATATTCATAGTCCTAAAAATATGAAAAATTAAAAAAATGTCGTTTTGAATTTTGATTTAACTAAACAAAAATGTATTGTGTTTTGTAAACTTATTTTGTCTTATTTTTTTTCGTGAAAAAAACAATTTAAATTTTTGTGAATGGATATAAATATACTATAAATTTTTTTATAAGCATTTATATTTTTTTTATGAATTTTCCTTCGATATGAAAAATTATTTATGCTTTGAAAAATTATATATTTTTTCAATTTTATATATTTTTCAAATTGTAAATGGAATCGTGTTTTTAATAATTTCGTGAATATTTTCGCAGAAAAATGCCATTTTTGCTTAAAAACTATTTTTCTAAATAATATTTTCAAATCTGTATCTCAATATATTTTCAAAAAAAATTTAAACTGTTAATAATTTGGTTCCATTTTATTTTCGAAATTCTGTTTAAAATACGTTTTTTAATTTTATCTTTTCAAAAATATTTTTCTAATAAAAATTTTTGTATTTTTCGTTAATTTAAATATATTAAATTAATTATCGGATTTCGTTTCTTTAAAAAAAAATTTTATAATAATAATTTTTTTCTGTTTCAATTCAAAATAAAATTGTATAATTTCGTTTTTTTTTTGTGTCGTTATTACATTTTTGAGTAACACATAAGCATGTACATAGATATGTGTGTGTATGTGTGGAAGTTTTTCCTTTACGCTAAACCAATAATTGCTCTGCTAAGTGTTTTCGGTGTATTTTTTTCTAATTTCGAATTTTCGCCTTTTTTGTGCGCTTTTTTTTTGGAATTATTGAAATCGTATGCTTAAATTCTTAAAATTAATTTTTTATGCTAGTGCATAATTTTCGTTTTACATATTCTAATATGGTAAGCTTTTAGTAGTTTACGATAATGAATTTTTGGAATTATTGCTTTTTTTTGGGGTTTTGAACAATTTCGCTTTACAGGCATTTAAATAACGTTTTTGTAAATGCAGTGAATTGTTGTGAGTTTTTTTTTCGTGTGCTAAATGGTGTTCGTTAAATACTTTTCGGTTCTCAAAAAAAAGGGCAAAAATAATAATGCATGAATTTAAATAAAAAATGTATTCTAATGATTTCAATATTTTTTAATTTGTAAAATTACTTACTATACTTTATTAAAAAGATACGTATTTTTACTATTTAAATAAAAAAAAATATATGTAAATTAATTTCTAATTGAGTACTAAATTTTAATTTGAAAAATGTGGCAAAATGAATGAAAAAACTTGGCTGCTAATTTGCAAAATATAATAGGAAATTAAATAAAAATATTTCATACAAATTTATTTATTTTTAACTATGGCCAAAGTTTTAAGCACAGTCGGTGGAAATTTTGAAAAATTTCGATAAAATGAATGACTCAAAAATAACTTTGAAAATGATGTAACAATTAATTAACTCAATTCGATTTTTTATTATTTCATATTTTATTATGATAATTTTCTATTTACTTACTTTTATTTATTGTTATTTTGTTTTATTTTAATTTAAATAATTTAATTTTAATTCACCTTTTATTTTAAACTATTCCATTTTATTTTATTTAATTTTACATTATTCTACTTTACAAGTTTTATTCTTTTTTTTGTTCATTGTTTTTTTTTTAATTTATTTTATTTTATTTTATTTTATTTTATTTTATTTTATTTTATTTTATTTTATTTTATATTATTTTATTTTGTTTTATTTTCTTTTATTTCATTTTTATGATTATTCTTATTTTATTCATTTGTTGTTTTAATTCATATTATTTTTTTTACATTCGAAAATTTGTCAAATTCTGAGAAATTTAAATATAATTAACATTTTTTGATTTGAGAAAAAAAATTTCAAGTACATAAGTACAATATGTATATATACTATTATTAGAAATCAAACATTTATCTTCTTACATTTCAAAAAACTTTTTGTGCTTAAAAAATTGCATATAAAATCGAAATATTTCAAATATACTATTTTGTTCAAATTTTCATACCTACAAACATACTTTATCAATAGATATAAATTTGCTCTGAACTATACATGTATGTATGTACGTATGTATATATGTTGGTTAGTAGTATTTTTTTGCCTGCTTAAAAAACAAACCGTTGCTGGAACATTGTCCTATCACATTTTATATATATAAATACATGCCACTTAAATTAAACATATAATATATGTACTTATATATGCATGTATGTATGTATTTATGTGTGTATTACACAATGCGTAAATTACAATTATGTCAATAATGTTTAAATCAGTTTAATTGAAAATGTCTTCTGAAAAGCGTGCGCACATGTGCCCGTGCACGAGTACAAGTAAATAAATAAATAAATAAATACATAAATAATGTAGGCGTTGTTTCAAAGAATAAAAAAAATTAAAATAAATGAAAAAAATAATAAAAAAAAATCAATAAAAAAATTCAATAAAATCGCGCTACTAAATAAAAATGACAAACATTTCGTGGCAGTAAATAATCATAAAAAATTTAAATTTTGTACACATTGATTTTTAATGCGATTTTAATTGCCAATAAAAATATTATTACACAATTGCCAATTACGTAAATAATTAGCGAGTAGAGCAAAAAAAAAAATATGTAGAAAAAAATGTTGAGCGAAAAATTTTATTAAATAAAAAATAAATATTTCTATAATATGAGAATTTATTGTTGCACATATTTGATTTGCCATTTGTTTTTTGTATATTTTTTTGTTTCGCATGTCTGTTTGTCCGTTTGTTTGTTGATATTGAAAAGTGGCACACGTAAACGCCTACAAAAATTTATTATTAAAATTATCATCAAATTACCAATTACAAATGTGGTACATATTGATTAGTGTTTATGTGTGAGTGCTTTATTAAAATTATATTATATTAACTAAATATATATATATATACTACATACATATAATACACATTGGAGTTTAAATATATACATAAATATATATATAATACTAAATACAAATAATAATAATAATTTACAAGAGAAAAATATTTAATTTCAAAGTAAATAAAATAAAATTATATAAATAAAATTTTTTTAAAATGAGAATTATAATTTTGTTTTGTTTTATTTCATTATCAAATTAAAATTTTTTTTGAGCCTGTGTTTGTAAAGGCATTTTCATAAGTTTTAAAAAGTTGTGTACTTCTTTTGTAATTCATATAAAGTGGCAACACAGTGTGTTGTAATTCTCACCACGTATACCACTCAGTTCAAATAATTTGATTTCCCGATAATTTTGTGCGACGCTCTCTCTCTCTCTCTCCCCTTTAATGAGTAGTAATTCCATACGAAGCGACATTTACCACACTTTTGAGATTAAAATGAGTTTACTCTTGAGAAATTATTAAGGCACAATGAATTACAGTTATAATCACTACGAAATGGCCAAGCAATAGAGAGATTTCACTACAGTCTCCAGCATTGAAATCTCTGTTATCCTGCAGTGAGAGCTATAGACCTGTGGAGAGCTCAATATAAAGATGGTAGCTGAAGAGAGACCAACATGAACTCAAGAGCATGAAGTCAGCTGAGGCTTCCCTACTAATTTTTCAGTGATGAGGAATTGAAGGTTATTCAACTTATTTTCTTTCGACCTTGTATTTTCGGGTAACAATTTGAGTAACGTAAAATGGAAAGAGCTAAGCCTGCTCAGTTTAAAAATGAAATCTTGAGTCCCCTATTTTTTTTATATATATAGTACTTCATTTTCTTTAATAATTTCTCTCTTCACCAACAAAAATTATGAAGATAACACATCCCTTACACCATAAAGTCCATTAAAGTAAGCTCTCAATCGCTAGTATTTTTTTTATTTAAAACTCGCACTCGACCTACAGCGTTGCCTAGGAACCTCTTTCTACTTAATCTCACTTAACTCTTTACTTCTCTACACAACAAATAAAGTCATCGCTGGGCTCTCTATTGCCGCCTATGCCATGGACGAGTGCGACGTGGCAGCCGAACTGTGACTCAAACTGGTCGCCTCTGAGCACGGCACCGTTCTATAGTGATTTTTTATTCTCTCACTACGTGTAGGCATACAGAATTTCCACACTACGAGCGCACAAATGACTATGAGAGCGATTAAAACGCTTGCGCCAATGTAACGCACCTCAGGACGTGTGAGAAACTTGCGCACGCTAGGTTGATAGACAGTGGGCTCTGGTACGGGTGGTGAGGGTGCTGATGTAGAGAATGTATACAAGTAGACAACGGTTGTAATCGATGGCGAAGCAGCAGTGCTGGAGTGTGGTGAGTTGGTGGTGAAAGTGTAAGTAGACGTTGGTGCGTGCGTTGTGCTGGTAGGAGGTGAACTTGTTGTGGAGCTACGAGTGGGTGTGGAACTTGTGTCTACATCATTGGTGGAGCTTGTTGCAGTGGTAGAGCTGCTTGTGGTGGTATCCGGTGAGATCGTGTTGGTGAGTTCAGTTGAGCTGGGTGTTGAGGAAATAGTTGAGGATGTAATTGTTTCTGTCGGTTTGGTTGTGGTGGATGTAGTAGCTTCGGGGGTGCTGCTAGCGGACACTAGAGTCCCTGCACTACGAGAGCTTTCTTCTTCTGTTAATTCGGTTGATGTCGTGGTGCTATGAACTGGTGGTGAAGAGTTCGAAGTCGAGCTGGACTCTGTGCTGCTCATCTCTGTTGTAATCGTTGTTGATTCAGCAGTAAAGTTCTCAGTTGTTGAGCTTACGATAATCGTTGTGGTACTAGTTTCGGTTGCCGAAGTGGATGCCTGGCTTGTAGACAGCGTTGATGAAAAAGGGGCTTCAATCGAAGACTGTGTTGTATTGTCGATAAGTGTATCCTGAGTTGAGCTGTTATCATCCGCCGTTGACATACTGCTCTGCGGGCCGAAATAGTTGTCGGCGGCGATTTCGTCGATGCTTTTGGTGGTCGACGTAACTTCAGTGGTGCTCGTTGATATTTCCGACACTGTGGTTGAGGTTGGCGTAAGGTCTGTGCGCTGCGTTTGCAAGCTCGTTGAATGGCTAAGCAAAGTACTGGCGGTTGTTGGGCTTTCTGGTGTAGATGTTGAGTTTGAGGACGTGTATGTTGTTGTTTCCGTTGTAAATACAGTGACATTCACTGAAGCCGCCACATCAGTATTCGTTGTATTGCTTGTGGAGCTCACAACGGTTGAAGAACTTTCTTTAGAGGCAGTTGTTGTTGTTTGCTCATTATGCAGCTCACGCTCAGTTGTGGTCTCTACACTGGAGTGTGTCGTGCTATTCTCATGTGCAATCAGAATATTCTCCTCACCCTCCGGGCACTGTGGACAACACTGGCCATGTACTTTTACGGGATCGCTGCAAGTGGCTGGCAAACAAAAGCTGCTCACACATTCCCGCTCACCATGCTCACAGTGACATTTCGTGCACCATTCATTCTCATACCAATCACTACCGTGCGCCATGGGCTCATTCAAAGTGGCTGTGTAACAAACGCGTTGTGTCTCCTGTTCCTCCATTTCATTTGTGCGGCACTCATTGTGACATAGCTCGAGTTCACTGATTCCATGACAAGTGCAACGTGTGCAGGCGTCGCGCCAATAGGGTTGAAAATCTACATCACCGCATACGCGTTTCGGCGCACAAGCGTACGACGGACAGCAGTCGCCGGGTATGCCGGTCGCTTCGTGCACTCTTATCACCACCTCCCCAGTCGCACATTGCGGCAACGCGTCGCAAGGTTTGCACTCACAATCATCGACTTTACTTGATTGACGGCGTCTACGACGTCTTCGTCGGCGATTTAATTCCATCATTGTGGGACAACACTCTTGCAGCATGCGCTCTTGCACGTCGGCATCTTCTGCATTTTCAAACTTCAGCTCACGTTTCACGAGTATAAGTTCATTGTCTTTTCCAGTTTCTGTGTCTTTTAAGGTGTTGCTTTGCTCGGGCAGCTGACTTGAAGTGGAGTTTATTGTTTGTGGCTGTGCGTAAGTAGCGGCCAGTTCCATGGGTAATTCATCGAAATGGTGATCCACTACATCACCCTCTTCGTCCACATCATCGTAGAGCTCATGCTCTGGCATAAGATCTTCCGGGCCGTACAGTACTTCCATGAAGGGTGATTGCTGCCGTTCTACGCTATCAGGTGGACAGCTGTTGCTACTATCGATAGGACATTCCACCTGGCTGCAGTCGTAGTCGAGCGGAACTGAAAGGAGAGAGAAGAAGGCGTATTAAAATTAGTATTGGAAGTCTTCGAAGTTATTGATGTAAAATTATTTAGTTTATCCTTATTGCATTTATGAAGCCGGAACTATACTATGAAACTCTATGATTTAGCTTATTTAGTTTTCTCCGTGAGGATAGTCAATTAATTATTCGCATAAAGATTACCCACACCGAGGAGCAGTCATTTTATGGAGTGAGCGCTTAGTTTGTTGTGTTTGAGAGCAGGATACTCTAGCAACCGAGAATTACTCAAGTATTTCAATGGAAGAAATACCGATCAAACAGTTGCACAGTTAGCTTTAAAGCCAAGACTCAGCACTTCGAGTTACAGAAGCACACTGCCTATGACTGAGCGCTCTTAAGCGGTACCACAGATGAAAGATGGGGCTACATACTACCTATGAAGTCTGAGATTTTCTTTTGGACACTACATTAGGTAGAGTAAAAAGTTCGTTCGGTTTTTATCTATGAGATGGCGTTATTGTCCATAGTACTAGTGTTACGTGTCGCATCATGTCATTCTATAGGGCGCTGAAAATGTGTTTATTCGCGCTAAAAGTTTGTCTTTGACAGTTTTTCGATGAATTGACTCAGTACGTTGTGAGCGCTCGTCAAACATGATGTACCGAATTTCGATCTGCGAATTGCTGCTGAATCGCAACAAAATCGACGCGTTTCTGAAGTGGATTGTAACCGACGATGGGGTCAAATACGACATCAGACCTCGGGGAAGCGGCCGAAACGGTGGCCAAGACCGGATGGACGGCCAGGAAGATTTTGCTGTGTGTTTGGTGGGATTGGCAAGGAATCAACTACTACGAGCTTCTCCTCTATGGCCAAACTCTCAATTCAGCCCTCTAATGCCAACAAATGGCAGCACTAATCCAGAAGAGGCCATCTTTGATCAACAGAGGCCGGATTGCGTTCCATCAGGACCACACACGTCTTTGGCAACGCGCCAGAAGCTCCAGAAGCTCGGATGGTAGTTCCTAGTGCACCCACTTTATAATCCAGACCTGGCACCAAGTTATTACCATCTTTTCCTGTCCATGTCGAACGCACTTAACGGTGAGAAGTTTGCCTCAAGAAAGGCCTGTGAAAATTGGCTCTCCGAGTTTTTTGTCAATAGGGACGCAGCCTTCTACGAAAGAGGTATAATGAAGTTGGCATCTCGTTGGCAACAAGTTTACGAACAAAGAATTAGCAAGCTCATACGAAATGGAGTTATTTAGAAGAGCTCTCCCTGTACCACACCGACCACCTCTTTGCATGCCGCCAAAAACCGACACATCAAATCCCCCTCTCCTTCTGGTCCGAGCCTGTCCAAACAGCTCGCTTCCTGTACCTAACGTTTGGTGACCTCGATGACTCAGACTGCTGACCTTTTCCTAAGCGGGGTCGCCAAACTGTTACAATAACAGCAACAACCAAAATTGAACGAAACTCACGCCATCGGCAATAAACAACTGAGTAGTGGAACCTCAAGGAAGAGAAGAGGGTTGTGTGCTTGTCAGCCAGCCGTACAAAGAGGTTTTAAGGTCATTCTTTACGCCGAATTCAAATATCAAATAGCAATGAGCAGTACTACATTACTAACTAACTGATCGGAGTCCAAAGTTGCGTAATGTGGAGTCTACACGGGTTGATTACCACATCACACACAAGTGCTGCTCACATTTCCAGGGTGTATTGTGAGAACATAGGCGGAGGCACTGAGTAAAACATTGAAACTGCAACACAGTAGTAGTTTTAGGTTTCATGGTTGAGTCGTAGAACACAGGCAACTTCCTGGGAACGTTGCGGCTGGTGAAGTAGGACGCAAAGAAACTGTCTTTGTCATTGTAAGCTCTTCAAATTACTTGGGAATACCGCTATTTTCGATATGTGTGCTGGAGAGAGATCTCTAAATCTCTACTCCTTTTACCCGGTTTATTGGCCTAATTGCGCTCAGTTATTGGAGAAGCTACGCCTTAGCACTCGCAACCGCTCTCTCAACTCTCAAACAGCTGCCTAGGAGCTCTATTTTTAATCGTAATTTCTAAATATTTCAATCTTGCACCAAAACCGGTACAATCTAGGGACTCTTCAGCTACTTTTAAGTATTTTTAAAGTTTGTATTTCTTACTCTTACAATCTGACCTCACTTAACTTAGCCTACGCATTGAGCATAAATTAATCTAAGAAGCTTCTATATGCACATACAAAAACAACAAATAAATACATGGTGAATATGGATGTAGCATGTGACATGTGACATTTTTTGTTTTTGTAAAATACCAGAAGTCAACCAAACAAACGTAGGAAGGAGTAACAAGAATCCTCTCCTACTGCTACTCCTCCTCCTCTCTCTCTCCGTACCATGTATGCTTTGGATATGCATTCTTTACCGATGAGATATGCTATTGTTTTAAGCTCTCACTCTGTTTGCTTCTTTATTTGCATACATTCTCATGTGCCACATGTGCATGTGTTTGTGTGTGTGTGTGTGTGTGTGTCTGTTGACAGCAAATTGACATTTCAGCTTTGTTGCATGCTGCTGCTGCTGCTGCTGCTGCTGCTGCTGCTGCTGCTGCTGCGGTTTCCAAGCGCAAAATGTAAACAACCGACTGCTGTCGAGGGGACACCGGTGTACTATTTACGCAATTTCTTTGATTTTCGCATTTGTTTAGCTACATTATTGATATAAGCACACATACATATGTATATACATACTCGTATGCGCAAGTGTGTACATGTATATTTGTGCATTGATATGCAAGTTAGATTTTGCATGTATTTGTTGTAGTAGAAAATAAGTAGAAAAAAAAAGCAATTTTGCCTTACCGAGAATTGCTCCTGAGCTCTTGGCTTGATTAAAGCTTAACAATGGTTTCAAGTACAGTTTGTGGTACAATGAAAGGGGGGTTGGAAAATACAGAATCTTATTTAAGCCTTGAATTGCATACACTTGCACACACACCCACACACATACATATACACACACACCTTCATTTCATCTACACTGTTTTAGGTTTCCTGCCTTGTACACCGGTTTGCTATATTTACTGATTTAAATACTTTGATCTCAATTGTCATGAGGGTGGCTGGGTCTTGCCCACACTTCCTCCCCCCCTTTGACATACATACGTGTACTTTTATTACTTTCCTTACATTATTTTTTCACTTCGACCTTATAGCAACAAGCGTAAACTTTGTTTTGTCTTTTAATGTACATTGATTTCAAGTGTCTTTTGGCTATTGATTTTTCCTATCATTTCACTTGTTTAACCTATGCCAAAGCATATGAGGTTATGTTGCTCACTTTCACATTGTTTAGTGCAAATTTTCATTAGTTTGTTTACCAACTGTACAACAACGATTTTTGTTTATTTTACAAATTAATTACATATACAAGTACTTCACTTTCTTTACTTGACATCGCAGAAATTGTGTGTTAACTAGTTGCTTTGATTAATTATAGTTAAGGATATTCGGATTTGTGCTCGTTTTGTGCTGAAATTGAGGTAAGGTTTGTTTGTTTCGAAGAGAGCGGTTTGTTATGGGGAATTTTGTAGGTTAGATTGAATTGTTGATTTATGCTAAGAAACGAAAGTTTTGTATGACATGTAATTGGTAATTAAGGCAATTGGCAGCCATACTCAGTTTTATTTAATTGAAACAATTTCATTTTACATTTTTTTTATTAATTAATTATTTCAATTATTTCTAATTATTTTTTTTAATTTTTCTAATTAAATTTCACTTGTTTTATATTATTTTATTTAAATTATTAAACGTATTTTCATTTCTTTTACTCGTAAAATATTTCATTTGATCTTTTTCTAATAAATTTAATTAATTCTCTATCGTTTTAATTTATTTTATATTATTTTATTTGCTGTATTTTATTTAATATACTTTCATTTTCACGCGCAAGTAATTCTTAGATGGTTTTAATAAGATTTTAATAGGTTTTTGCATTTTTTCTTTTATTATAACTTATAAACTGATATGTTATAATATATGAAAATAAGAAAAAAAACCATTTTCCACATAGGAGCTATCTATGATCCAGATATCATGAAAATGGAACTACAAGCCCGATTTTTCCGCACAGATCATTTTGAACTTGATAAAGAGCCATCAACATATATTTCACATATTTTATTTATTTATTTATTTATTCAAAAATAAGTTATTTTATTATAGAATCGGTGCCACTTATCGGTAGAACAAGTATTCCCCATCTCAATTTAGATCAAATTTCATATAAATCAAACGATTTAAAAGTGAATGCAATTTTTTCGAATATATCTGTCTCGCTCTCACTCCTCAGAACGTGCTTTCATATCGGATGCGTACGCACTATGCATGCGCAATACACCCTCCAAGCTTTAGATTTCTGTTAGTGTATTTTGTATTTAATTTTGTTTTTTTTTATATTTTTTTATTGTAATAATTTGGAATTTTAAATTTTTATATTTTAAATTAATTATAATATTTTTTACTTTTTTATTCTTTTTGTGGCCATAATATTAATGTTGTTTATAATTTTTTAGTGTTTATTTTTTAAATTTTTTTTTAGTTTTATTTTCTTTTGCCTTAACGACAAAGTTACCTTCCCCATTCTTCTGCTCGCAATTCAACGAACTGCGTTTGCTCCTCTTACATGTCTCTTCATTTGTTGGAAACGCATTAAGACGTTTAATTTCTTATTTTATTTCTCTTTCGTATTAAATTTATTTATTTTATTTTATCATATTTTTTATTTCCATTATCTTTCAACTTCATTTGAATAAATGCTTTTTCACAATTTTTTATTTTGTTTTGGTTTGTTTTATTTAATTTTATAAATTATATTTTGTTTTATCTTATTAATTTTTTTAAGTTTTTTTTTGAAAAATTTTACTTATAATTATATTTTTTATATTTTTTTTAATTAAGTTTATTTCATTATTAACATTTTTATTTTATATTTAACATTTTTATATTAATTTTATT